GAACTCATATATAGTTCACCTTAATTCCTCAATTTTATGTATTTTTATTGGCGTATAGTTGATTCACAATGCTAGATTCCCCAGTTTTAAACGTTTGACCACATTTGCTTTCTCTCTCTCCTACTCTGATTATCTTATTGAATCATTTGCAAATTAGTTGCAGGCATCATGATTCTTTGCCCCAAATTTCTTCATTGTGCGTCTCCTAGGAGCAAGAATATTCTCTTCCATCTCCACAGCCCAGTGATCAGATTCAGGACAATTAACCCAGATACAGGACCATTATCTAATATACAGTCCACATTCCAGTTTTGCCAGTTGTTTTAATAATCTCATCTTGGTCCAGCACTGAGCCCAGGATCACAGACTGCATTTAGTCATTATGCCTTCTTAGTTTTCTTTAGTATGGAACAATTTTGGTGCCTTTCATTGTTTTTCATGACCTTGAGGTTACTGAAGTGTGCAAATCAGTTATCTTGAAGACTCGTGTAGAAGTTCCAGGAGCTCTATTCCCCGCTCTGAGTTGATCAAAATGGGAAGGATATCTAAAAAAGAGGGGATATATATCTATGTACCTATAGCTAATTCACTTTGCTTATCATCCAGAAACTAACACAACATTGTAAAGCAACTATACTCCAATAAAAAAAATTTAATTAAAAAAAAAGAAAAAAAAAAAAAACAGACCTAAAATCCATTTTGATTGAAGGCAAACTTGACTGAATCCTATTTACAATGACCTGAGATAATTTTGCTTAATTATTCAATGTATTATGTTTGCACTGGGGATTCTGAAAATAAATTACTTGCTCAAGAAAAATAAAAGTCCCACTGAGTACTCACCATGGACCTCAAAGACACTACTCTGTGTTGCTCATATTTTAGCCAGGAGTTGGGGTGGGGGAGACATCAAGGAAACATGCAGGGTGAATTTAGGTGCTGACATGCAGGATATAAAACAGGGTCATGACTAGATAGGTCCTGGAAGTCTACTCTGGCCAGGGTGGCCTCTCTGGGAAAGAGATGACTGAGCTGAACCCTGGATGATAAGAAAGAGCTAGATTTGGGGACTTGGGGAGGGTATGGGAATAGACTATTCCAGGAAGGGGAAACAGCACGTGCAAAGGCCCTGGGGTTGGATCATGCCAGGTGTTTGAGCAGCAGCGAGGAGTTGAGTGCAGCCAAAGCAGAATGGGGGGCAGGGGGGCTGTGGGCCTGAGGGCAGAGATCATGGAGGGCCCTTGGGTCCTACTCAGTAAAGACTCGTGATTTTTCTTCTGGGTGAAGTGGGAGCCTTGGCAGAGTTCTGAGCAGAGGAGGGACAGGATCTGAGAAGCGGGGACATGGTGAGCAGACAATGGTGGCAGGACCAGTGGTGGCCACGGAGACAAGGAAGAACTAGACAGATTTTGGAAGCAAAGGGAAGGCAGTGCCAGTGGAGCTGGTGATGGCCCGGATGTCGCTGGCAGCGCGAGAAAGCAGTGAGAACACTGCATCTCCAGGCCTGGCTTCCCCCTCCCTGCAGGCCAGAGCCCCTCCTTCTCTTGGCCTCACCTCGGCAGTGACGGGCGGTTGCACAGGCTGACATTTCTGGGTAATTCCTCTCCCATCGACTTATGATTTATTTTTAATTTTCTCTCAGAACCGTAAAATGTTCTTGCAGGCAGAGGCTGGCAAGGGATGGGGGTGGGTTTAATCAGTAGTTGGGGCCCCATTAATGTCTAATAACATATTTATGGGCAGTGACTTGGCACTCCAAACTGTCCCCAGAATCCCTTATGGAAATGGCCTGTGTCAGCGGAACTGGATGCTGGCCTGGGGGCTTGAGTGGCAGCAAGTCTGGGGAACAGCCTCTGGAGGCGCCAGGAGAACTAGGCAGGAGTTGGTGTCAGGATGTCCTCTAAGGTTGAGTCGTTGGCAGTGTCCATAATTCGGGCTGGTGGAAGACCCTTTGAGATCTTGAGTCTTGAGAGCAGGGCCAAGAGGTTGGGTAGCTCAGGAGTTTGGGGCACAGACTGTGCCAACCTCCCTGAATTTGGATCCTGAATCTCTGCCACTCCCTGGAAAGTCAGACCCTTAATTTCTTGGTGCTTCGGCTTAGAGAGTGAAAAAAGTGAAGTCGCTCAGTCGTATCCGACTCTTTGTGACCCCATGGACTGTGCCCACTGGGCTCCTCCATCCATGGAATTTTCCAGGCAAGAGTACTGGAGTGGGTTGCCATTTCCTTCTCCAGGGGATCTTCCTGACCCAGGGATTGAACCCAGGTCTCCCGAGTTGCAGGCAGACACTTTACTATCTCGGTTTTACTAGCTCGGTTTACTCCTCTGTAAAACAGAGACAGCAGGACCTTCCTCAAGGCGTTGTGGGGAGGGTGAAAGGCAGTGATCCAGGTGAAGTCCGGTAACTGTGCTTGGCTGATAACCAGAGCTCAATAACCATATTCAAGGGACTTCCCTGGTGGTCCAGTGGCTAGGACTCTGCACTCTCAGTGCTGGGGGCCCAGGTTCGATCCCTGGTCAGGAAACTAGATCCCACGTGCTGCAGCTAGGAGTTCCTTACTGCAACTCAAAGATCCCTCGTGCCAGAGCTAAGCATCCTGCATGCCGGAGTGAAGACCTGGTGCAGTCAAACACACAGATAGATAAATACAATTTTTAAAAAGTCAGTTAAAAAAATCCAAGAAGTATTTGGTGTGCAGCCACCCATGTGCCAGACACCACTGTAGACGGTGGGAGTAGGGCAGTGAGCAGAACTAAGATCCCTGCCCTAAGGAGCTGACATTCTGGTGAGAGGACAGTTGATAAGCATGTTACTGTATCAGACAATGAGCTCTATGCATAAAGCAGGGACAGGAGTGAAGAGGCCCTGCTTTTCTGAGTGGTCCAGGAAAGCCTCACCAGGAAGGTGGCATCTGAACAGCAACTCAAAGGCAGCGGGGACGTGAGCCATGCAGATGTGTAGGATGGGGAGGGAAGACAGTGAGTGCAAAGGCCCTGAGGTGGGGACGAGGGTGACACGGCAGGGAGGTGGCAGATGCCAGACCAAGGAGGGCCCTGCAGGCGTGGGGAGGACTTCCGGCTTCTCCTCTGAAATGGGAACCCTTTAAAGGCTCTGAGCAGAGGAGGGACATGGCCTGCTTTCTGCTTTAGGGGGGTCATTCTGGCTACGTTGCTGAGAACAGACTGTGGTAGGCGGGAAGTGGAGGCAGGGAGACCAGAGAGGAGGTCTGCAGATGCTCGGCCAACGGGAGATCACGATCATGGAGGCGCTGCGCTGTGAGGATGAAAAGCAGAAGCGGTGTTTCAGGTCAGTCAGACAGACTCGGGCGGAATCCCAGCTCTGCCCACTGACCGGCTGTGTGACCTTCAACAGGTCGCTTCACTGTCACCATCTGAAAAGCGGAGGTCAGGGAAATAATAATAATAGCTGTGCACAGAATTGGGTTTTCCCCCTTCGGTAGTTTGATTTTGAGATAATTTTAGGTTACAGGAGAGTTGCAAAGATAGAACAGAGTTCCCGAATACCCTTCCCCCAGCTTCCCCCAGTGTTAACCTCTCAGAAGCACAGCGCATGCGGGGAAACAAAGCAGTCAGCACTGCTAACTCGTCACTGAAAGTCCGTACTTCGCTCAGATCTCCCCAGTTTTTCCCTTTTCTCTTCCAGGGTCCAGTCCAGGACCAACTTTGCACGCATTCTTTTATTCCCTTAGAAAAAAAAATTTAATGCCCCCCAAAATGAAAAGAAATGTTACCTGTGCTCTCCCCCACCCCTCAGCTCTGAGCTCTCTTGAGCCTCAGATGGACTTGCCCCGGGGCGCCAGGAAGGGCCACCAGCAGCTCCTGGCAGGCCCTCCTCCCGGTGGCGGAGGGCTTCTCTCTTGAATTCTAGCGCAGATCCTAAGTCTGGTACCACTGGCCCAGCCCAGGTCACCCGTCCCCTCTGAGTCCATCACTGACTGACTGACTGGACCAGGCCGACTCCTATGACCACACTGAGGTCTGCAGGGGGTTTGTTCAGCTCTAGACAGTCCACGCAGACTTCTAGTGAAGTGGAGACGGTACTCCAAAGGAAAATGGGCTGAGGAGTGATGCGGGGCAGGCAGGCTGCAGGCCAACCCCGCTCCTGTTGACGGACAGTGCGGTGGGGAGACCACAAGGTGGCGCGCGTGAGTCGCCGCGCACCGGGTCTGGCCCCCGGGAGCGCCCCCTGGAGGTCAGCTCCCGGGTGACGTTCACAGAGAAGGTAGCCCGGAGCCCGGAGGCTGCTGGAAGGTGGACTTTGCTGCGGGCGGGAATGAGATGAGACCAGAAGTGTCCTCCTGGGTGAGCTGAGGCAAGGCCCCACGGGAGAACTCTCAGCTGCCAGGGTAGTGGTCTAAAGATCTCAAGGTTGTGTGATCAGACACACACAGACGCACGCACACTCACACCTCTGTGCAGCTGGGTGGACGGCAGTCTTCGTCACCTCCCTAACTCGCCGCAGCCTCCTTCTGAAGGAGTTGACTGAGCAGCCTCCTTTCCCGGCCCTGCTTTTTAATTAATGAGCAGTGGCCCCCATCTGACCATCTGGACGAGATAAAAGGACCCTGGCACTGAGTTAACCCAGAGCTGAATTATTTATCGCCTACATTCCACTGGCTGTTCAAGTGATGGGCAGTAAGTGACCTTGCTTGTCTCAGCTGGACCTGAGGTGCTGGAGGAAACCTCAGAGAGAGTCCAGGGCCCCCGTGGGCTCTCAACCTGAGGGAGGGGCCGGGGAGAGGGAGAGACCATTTCTGAGCTCAGCCGGAGGAGGGAGTCCTTTATACTCCTTGTGGCCACCCCAGAAGTGAGCGTTTTTACTCCCATTTTACCAAGAGGGGGGTTCTGAAACCCAGAGAGGGGAGGGGCTTGTACAGTCACAGGCAGTGGGCAGCTGGGATTTGAACCCAATTCTGCCTGGTCTTGGTCCTGGTCCAGAGCTCTGCCAGCTCCCTTCCAGGCTTCCTTGGAGGTCCCCAGTCCAAAGGGCCACAAATAATTTATTCAACAAATATCATTGAGCCCCCAGTATATGCTGGGCAGCGGGCAGGACTTGGACATGCTTCGATTTCCTTTTCAGTTAAAGGTGGGGTGATACCGGTGCCTGCTGGACGAGGGAACCTGGCACCTCCGAATTCACGGCAGCTAAAAAGAAAGAAAATCCGTTCCACTGTCACTGATGCCCCTCCCAGCTTCTGTCCCAGAGGCAACCTGAGTGGCCAGGTTCTAGAGTCTCTTTCCAGAGCCGGCCTGTGCTCTTCATATGTACAGATCCCTCTTCAAATACACACACAAGCGGTCGCACACCGAGCCCCCGTCCTCCAGCTTGCTTCGGTGCATCTTGGCTCCAGACACACATTTGAATGCAGTCAGTTCCTTCTTAACCACTTCCGGTATCATCCTCCTATGGATGGGTCATCGTTGATCTCACTGATCTCCTGTTGCTAGATTTTGAGGTTGCTTCCAGTCTTTTGCTGTTACTTCAGTGCTGTGATAAATATCCTTGTGCAAATGTCCTTCTGTCCACGTGCAGCTGTGTCTGTAATAGAATCGCTGGGTAAACATGACATTTGATGACTACTTAATATTCCATTATGAAGATTGGATAGGAGAGTCATTTATGGTAGATGAAAATCTTCCTCCCGAATGAAGGCTAATTTGTATTCCAGCCATGTCTAGAGTTCATTTAAGGGTACCCATACATATTTAGCCACATGCTGAATACCTGAGTGTTACTCAGCCAAGGATGCAGTCTTGGAGCAAAAAGTTTTTATCCATTTTCCTAATTACCTAACTCCTGAGAAGTTTTACATAATTTTTGTTCAGGAAACAAATAGCTTTCACGATCACCATTGGTTATTGCTGCTTTGCTATATCCACATACGATACTCAAATATTTGAAAGCAAACATTCAGATATTGTAGTAGTTCCCTATTGTTACATGACAGCTGACCACAAAAACTCAGTGGCATACCCTGATGAGTGTTTATTTAACTCACCGGTCTGTGGGGCTGCTAGGAGTCAGCTGGTCTAGACTGGGCTCAACTGGACAGCTCAGCTCTGCTCCATGGCCTCCTCTTGGGATCAGGTGGCTGGCCAGGCAAGTGGAAATGCACAAGGTCTCTTAAGGCCTGTGTTCAGTCAGTTCTGCCTCATTCTATCGGCCAAAACACATCACACGGCTGAGCCCAAATCCATGGGACCAGGAAATACATCCTACCCCTTTAATGGAAAGAAGTACAGAGTCACATGGTAAGAGGCATGGATGTTAAGAAGCATGGGGAGCTGGGGCTAAGGATGCATCCATCCTCAGATTTAACAATAATCTTTGTTTTTAAAGTCTTTTCTTGAATTTATTATAATATTGCTTGTGTTTTATGTTTTGGTTTTTGCTGGCAAGGCATGTGGGATCTTAGCTTCCTGACCAGGGATCAAACCCATACCCCCTGCACTGGAAGGTGAAATCTTAACTGCTGGCCTGCCAGGGAAGTCCCAACAGAAATCTTAATTGATACATTGTGTTCTTATTATCAACATTTTCACTGATTCAGTTCAGTTCACTTCCATTGCTCAGTCGTGCCTGACTCTTTGCATCCCCATGGACTGCAGCACGCCAGGCCTCCTTGTCCATCACCAACTCCCAGAGCTTGCTCAAACTCATGTCCATCGAGTCAGTGATGCCATCCAACCATCTCATCTTCTGTTGTCCCCTTCTCCTGCCTTCAGTCTTTCCCAGCATCAGGGTCTTTTCCAGTGTGTCCGTTCTTCACATCAGGTAGCCAAAGTAGTGGAGTTCCAGCTTTAGCATCAGTCCTTCCAATGAATATTCAGTACTAATTTCCTTTAGGATGGACTGGTTGAATCTCCTTGCAGTCCAAGGGACTCTCAAGAGTCTTCTCCAACACCATAGTTCGAAAGCATCAATTCTTCCGTGCTTAGCTTTCTTTATAGTCCAACTCTCACATCCATACATGACTACTGGAAAAACCATAGCTTGGACTAGATGGACCTTTGTCAGCAAAGTAATGTTTCTGCCTTTTAATATGCTGTCTATGTTGGTCATAGCTTTTCTTCCAGGGAGCAAGCATCTCTTAAGTTAAAATTTCACCTTCCAGTTCAGGGGGTATGGGTTTGATCCCTGGTCGGGAAGCTAAGATCCCACATGCCTTGCCAGCAAAAAAACCAAAACATAAAGATGCTGCAAGCATCTTCCAGCAAGCATGGCTGCAGCCACCATCTGCAGTGATTTTGGAGCCCCCCCCCCCAAATAAAGTCTGTCACTGTTTCCACTGTTTCCCCATCTATTTGCCATTAAGTGATAGGACTGGATGCCATGATCTTAGTGTTTTGAAAGTTGAGTTTTAAGCGACTTTTTCACTCTCCTCTTTCACTTTCATCAAGAGGCTCTTCAGTTTTTCTTCCTTTTCTGCCATAAGGGTGATGTCATCTGCCTATCTGAGGTTATTGATATTTCTCCTGGCAATCTTGATTCCAGCTTGTGCTTCATCCAGTCCAAAATTTCTCATGATGTACTCTGCATAGGGTGACAATATACAGCCTTGATATACTCCTTTCCCAATATGGAACCAGTCTGCTGTTCCATGTCCAGTTCTTTTTTTTTTTTTTTCCATGTCCAGTTCTAACTGTTGCTTCTTGACCTGCATACAGATTTCTCAGGAGGCAGTTCAGGTGGTCTGGTTAGCTATGGAGATTCACTCAAATCACTGTGAATAGTTCACCGATAAGCTGCGGAGATTACTTGTGTGACCTCAATGCATTTTGCTCAAGGTCAGGGATGCCAAGAACGGCCTTGCAGTAGGCACGGGGCTATGCCCAAGCCGCAGGGCATGTTTGAGCCATGTCCTGAGCTGAAGGTAGACATGAGTCATGTGGGGGGTGAGGTGGGGTGGGGTGGGAACGCAGGCTTCCCAACCCCTGTACCTGGGCCAGGTACAGACCAATCAACCATCACAGACCAATCAACTCTCACCCCAGCTTTGCCCTCTGGGGCTTCTTCTCATTGCAGGGGAACATGGGTCCTGCTGCCTTCTGGCTCCTGCTCTTTCTCCTCAAGAACCCCGAGGCCCTGGCCGCTGTCCGTGGAGAGTTTGAGACTGTCCTCTTGGGAGCAGAGCAGCCCATTTCGCAGATGACCACCCTCCCACAGAAAGTTTTGGACAGCATGCCTGTGCTGGGTGAGACAGACCCTCCAAGAGAGCTCCAAAGACCTCGGTGTCATGGGCACCCCCAAAACCCTTCCTACCCATCATGGGTTCCCATCAGTTCCTCTGACCTAAGGCCCCCCTGGGCCTCCTATCTTCACAGACCTGGTGTCGCCACACCCCGGTCTTCACTACCTGAGTCTCATGGTCTAGTAGGAGGCTTTTGGTTGCAGGTGGCAGAAAACCTAACTTAAATGGGCTGAAGCAGAAAAGGGATTTCAATGGGGGCAGGTAACTAAAAAGTCTAGAGGAACTAGCTCTAGACCCAGGTAGATCCAGGCGGTTTAACGACACCCTCAGGTCTCAGTCTGTCTCCGTCCTCAGCTCCATTTTCCACTCCAGTCTCGAGCTGGCAAGATGGCCGCCAGTGGTACCGGGTTGCCTGCCCAGGGAGGGTGTGCGTCTCTGCCACGTTCCTATCCAAAGTCCCAGGAATGGCTCTCATTGGCTCTCTTCAGGTCATGTGCCCATCCAGAGCCAATCATGAGGCCCGGAGGGTTGGGCTGCTCTGATTAGGCAGTCGCGGTGCATCCCAGGTGCTGGGTGTGGAATGCGCAGCACAGGCACTGAGGGGGTAGCGGGGTGGTCCCCGGAAGAGAACGGAACTGTTTCCAGAAGGAGGATGTCTGCTGGGCAGGCGGACACAGCCAAACCCCGCTGTCTCCCCAGCCCTCTCAGATATCTGCCTGGCTCCCAACTTCCCGGGCAGCTTCTTTTAGGCTCAGACCCAGAATTTCATGTCCAAGGTCTCTGCAGCAAACGCCTCTCATCTCGCGGCCGGTTTTGGCCTGGCTTTGTGATGGCGGGAGAGCCATGCACCGTCTCTCAGTCTCTGCACCTGCCACTGTCAGATGAGGGCCGGGGGGTGGCATTTCAGTGGTGGTGGGGGGGACGCTGCTGACCGCCCCCGCCTTGAACCTGCCCCCGTGCAGACAGCGTGCTGAGTGAGAGCCTCAGGCTCACCGCTGCGCCCTTCATCACGCGCGAAGTCGTGGCCGACCTGGCCTTGCCCATGGCGGATGGGCGGGAATTCAGCCTGCGACGTGGGGACCGCCTCCTCCTCTTTCCCTTCCTGAGTCCCCAGAAGGACCCGGAGATCTACACAGACCCGGAGGTAAAAGGCATACCAGGGGTCGTGGGGGGAAATGAGTGGATTCACGTTCTGCCCAGTCTCAGCGGCAGCCCGGCGGGCTCTTTACTTGCCGTGGATCCTTGCCCAGATTACTGTCACCTCTGTGTGTGTTTCCTCACCTGTGAAATGGACCTCGTGATAGCACCTACTGCCATGGGGTTGTCAGGAAGATTACATGTGGTTATGTTAAGAAAGATCTTCACAGCACCTGGTAGACACTTAAGCACTGTGCAAGGGCCAGCTGAGCAATTTTTCCTATTTTTAGCATCTTATAACGTTAGCTTCTCAAGCTTTTCCTTCTCCCTAGATTTCAAAATGTGGCAGACTTTCACGATTTCAAACAGTTGCGGATGTTTACTGTGTGCCGTGTTCTGTACTGTGCGTGCATGCATGCATGCACCCACCACCTATCCTTCCATCCCTGCTTGCATCCACTATCCATCCATCCCTGCATCCCTCCTTCCATGTATATATCCATCCACCATCCATCCATGCATCCACCCATGCATGCAGCAGTCATCAACTCATTCTGCCATCTGTCTGTCCACTGGTCCAGTCACCTGTCCTTCCACCTACTCTGTACAAAAAGCTGCGCGCTCAAATACACTCTTCACATTACCACTCTACACTGTAACCAGAGGAAACTGGCATTCTCTTTTGTAAAAATAATTTTAATTTCATTTATTTTAAATTATTTTATATGTAAAATAATATATACTTTAAGACAGAAATATAGACATATATACATTTACAAATAAAAATCTGTCTTCATTCCCCTTCCTCTCCAGCTCCTCAGGGTTGCCTAACTGTGGTTGGGAGTGTGTCCTTTATATATTTATGTCATTTTACAGACACACAACATACTCACACTCATGTGAATAAGTATGTGTTTACATATTCACAGAATCACACAATGTTATGACACTTTCTTTTTCACCCAACAGCCAGTCTTAAAAGTTCTTTCCAATGTCAGCACACACAGACCAAGCTCAACCTTATCATTAGCTGCCATCATTTTTAACCAGTTCCCATCAGTTGAGCTTTACATTGTTTCCACTGTTTCTTTCTTATAAACAAGACTGTGATAAACATCTTCAGACAATTGTCTCCATACATCCCTATTTCGGGGATGGAGTCAGAAAGGGACCTTCTTCCTGTTTCAGGTGTTTAAATACAACCGATTCCTGAACCCTGATGGATCAGAGAAGAAAGACTTTTACAAAGATGGGAAGCGACTGAAGAACTACAGCCTGCCCTGGGGAGCGGGGCACAACCAGTGCCTGGGGAGGGGCTACGCCATCAACAGCATCAAACAGTGAGTGCCGGGCACGCGGAGCCCCGGGCCCCATAAATTCTCTTCCCTGGACCCCGTGCACTTTCCCCTCAGATAACAAACCAGGGGATGATATCCACCTTCTGTTGAGCTGGGTCACCTCTGCCTCTGTCTCCGCAACTGTAAAATAGGGGTACTGATCATTTTACATCCCCAGGGGTGTCAGGACGAGTAAGTGGGACCTTTCTAGGTACTTCAGCCACTGCCTGGCTCATTGTAGGCTTTTAATACAGGTTCTTATTGTAATTACTACTATTACCACTTTTATGTGCAGGCATTATGCTAGTGAATGGGCATATTCCATTAACCTTTGGCCTCAGTTTTCGCAGCAGTAAAGTGGAGATCATTTACAGTTGGTTTCACTCTAAAACTTCCAGTGCATTCTTGAAAATCCCTGCACTGTGGGCAACCACACAATAAAAATCACAGGGCTGTGGTGGAGATAGGGCCGGGGCCCAGCTCTCAGAAACCTTGTCAATGACACAAAAAGACAATGCGCCCTGGAAAATATGGCAGCACAGGTTTATTGTTGTCGTTCAGTCCCTCAGTCGTGTGGCCTCTTTGCGACCCCAGGGACTGCAGCACGCTAGGCTTCCCTGTTCATCTCCAACTCCCCGAGCTTACTCAAACTCATGTCCATCAAGTTGTTGATGCCATCGAACCATCTCATCCTCTGTCGTCCCCTTCTCCTCCCGCCTTCAATCTTTCCCATCATCAGGGTCTTTTCCAATGAGTCAGTTCTTCACATCAGGTGGCCCAAGTATTGGAGCTTCAGCTTTAACACCAGTCTTCCAGTGAATATTCAGGGTTGATTTTCTTTAGGATTTACTTTAGGGCCCTACCACAGGTTTACACATGTTAAATGGAATAAATAGAAACACCTAAGTGATACAATAAATACAGTGCTTTACTTTGGCCGTGACCTGATGTTTGCCATGGAAGTGGCAGTGGATGGAGCTGTGAGTCACACTGAAGCCTGGGAGGCGGTTATCTGAGGTTGGACGCCTGATGGGAATGGTGTGACTCTTCACCTACCTGGTGTACTGAGGTCTCTGGGGGACAGAGTTTAGGTGTGTGCATTTTGTGGATTCCCGCTCAGCTTCATTCAGCTGGGTGTAGTTTTTCATTCTCTTAGTGTTTCTTGCGGATGAAGTGACCACAGGCAGATGTGAAATTTGTGTTACGCTTCATTCGCACCCTGATGGATAAATCCCACTGAAACGAATTCTCGTGTTCAAAACAAGTGTTAGAGCAGAACTGACTGTAGTTCCTACTCCAGAAGGTTTTTGGACAGATGAAAGAGATAATGGATAGGAAATGCTTAGCAAAGTGTCTGGCATATTGAGTTCAATAAATTTAGCTAATATGTTATTTTTGTCTGTTCATCATCATGATAACTAACTCTACAGGTCAGAGCATTCCTCACGGTCAGAAACCTGGTGAATGAAGGTGCCAGGCTCCAAATCCGGGTGTGGGTACAGATCCCCCAACACAATGGTATAAACTCACCCTCTACCACTCTACAGCTTCAGAGCTGGAAGGAACACAGCTCACCCCTTTGACCAGATAGGGAAACTGAGGCCCAGAGTGGGAAGGAAACCTGACAGGAGTCACACGCCCTTAAGAGGCAGAGCCCAAGTCAGCGCCCAGCTCCCCTGCCCAGAGCGCTGACACTGCTCTGTCCTCATCTTCCCTCTTTTTCACTCATTTAGTCAGATGAAAGGGTCTTCCCTGCCGTGTGTTGTGCCAGCATTGGGTGCCCGGGTGGCGGTGGGGGACGGTGATGGTAGGGCCCAGAGGAGCAGAGGATCAGGCTGACCTTAACTAACAGAGGCGGTGGTAAGATCCGGCTGGCGGAACCAGCTCACACTGCAGGGGGGGGGTGGGCTGCCACCCCTCTTACGGGCCCACTGATTGCATCGTCACACGGTTCATGTACTTGTCAGGACAGCGTTCCAGGCGATGGCGGCGCCTGCTGTGCATCCTGCTCTCCCAGCGTCCCCACGGCTGTCTGGAGGAGGGGTGCCCGCTTCTGATCTTACGAAGGTGGCTGTGGTTTAGCAGCAGCCCAGACCAGGGCAGGCAGTCAGGGTTCCAGGAGTTCGCTGGGACCTGGGGTGAGGATGGTGGGAAGAATCAGGAACGGTCAGTGTCCATATTAACCAGGAGAAGTTCAGTTTTGCTGCTGTGGCAGATGACCCCCAAGCCGACCCCCAAGCTTCTACAGGTGTGGTTCCCGCTCACACAACGTCAGCTCTGGGTTTGGGGGGGCGCTCTTCCCCTCCATGCAGGGACTTGGGGGCCAGGTTCTTGCCATCTTCCAGCTCTATCATCTCAACGTGAAGCCCAGGCAGCCGAGAGAGCTAGAGAGCGGGGCACTGGCTCTGAAATGCTTTCGTTGGAATTGTCACTCCTGCCCACAGCCTGTCAGCCAGGACTCGGAAGCGTGTGGCCTTTGTGCTCTGCTCGCTCACCCTCCTTTCCCAAGTTTCCCAGAGTGAGAGCTGGGGTCAGACCAGGAGGAAGCCCTTGCTTTCCTGCCTGACTCTGAACGGACGCCCCCCTTTCCCCTTTCACGCCTCCGACACCATCTCTCCCTAGATTCGTGTTCCTTGTGCTGACGCACTTTGACCTGGAGTTGATCACCCCGGACGTGGACATCCCCGAGTTTGACCTCAGCAGGTATGGCTTCGGGCTGATGCAGCCAGAACACGACATGCCCATCCGTTACCGCGTCCGGCCGTGAGCGCCACACGCCCAGCCTACCCTGTCACCCAACTTCCCATGCCTGCGTTCAGCCTGGGTGCCGGGCTTTGAATATCCAACAGTGCCAGCATTGCCCCTTCCCTGCTGTTCTTCAGAAGACTGTGCCTGGGGGCGGGGCCGGGGGTTGGGGAGAAGAGGAGTGAAGAAAAGACACCAAGAGATGCACAGATTATCTGCGGCAAAGTTCCAACATGAGACTCTTTCTGCTCCCAGCTCCTCCCACCTTTATGAAATCCGCTAAAGCTACGGGTGTATGTGCTCAGTCGTTCAGTCGTGTCTGACTGTGGCCCCATGGACTGTAGTTTGCCAGGCTCCTCTGTCCACGGAAACGTTCCAGGCAAGAATACTGCAGTGGGTTGCCATTTCCTGCTCCAGGGGCTCTTCCCAACCCAGGGACCGAACCTGCATCTCTTGCATCACTAGCATTGGCAGACGGATTCTTTATACTGCGCCACCTAAAGCTGCAGCAGACAGGTCAGACTAAGAGACCTCCTCACTGCTCTGTCACCAACCCCCAAGGGACCGCCATCCAGTGCCCTGGTTGTGGTCCAGGCTATAACAAGTCAAAGCAGACGCTGGCCATAAAAAGGCCATTCAGGGTCTAGCAGTACATCTATTGATATAAACTCTGTCCCTGAACTGTTATTAAACTACCTAAAAGCCAAAGAGTCTCTTAGCATATCCGCTT